AGAAAAATATCAATTTTTTTTTTTTTTACACCCGATAAAATGAACTATAGTTTTTAAATCATAATAAGAAAGAGTTAAAATGTAGAAGAAACTAACAAAGCGACTACCCAACTCAGGTCTTACACCATTAATAGATACAATACACCGAACACTAAAATCTAAGTGTCCATGGGCACAAACCGTTATTGGATTTTGTGTTTTAATTTGACTATGACGTGGGAGACAAAGCCTCACCTTACTACGGTATTTATAATAGTTCAAGGTTGTGGCTAGTTGGGCCGTGTGGGTTTAAGGTTAAATGTGTCTGGTTGGGCTGTATGGCTTATGTAAATAATGTTAGAATATTAAACAAATTTCTACACATAATCTTTAATCATATCAGAAGAAGGAAGACTGTTTTGTTAAAACCCAGGAGTAAATAATACAATCCCATGATGCTCCAAAGTAACAATCGTGGAACAATTTTAGATTATCTAATCCATTGTCTGGACAAGAAAAAATAGATATGTTATAACGTAGAACAACTTAAAAAAAAAATAATTATGTTATAACGTAGAACAACTTAAAAATAAAAAATAATTATGTTATAATGTAGAACAACTTAAAAATAAAAAATAATTATGTTATAACATAGAACAATTTAAAAATAAAAAATAATTATGTTATAACGTAGAACAATTTAAAAATAAAAAATAATTGTTATAACGTAGAACAACTTAAAAATAAAAAATAATTATGTTATAACATAGAACAATTTAAAAATAAAAAATAATTGTTATAACGTAGAACAACTTAAAAATAAAAATAATTATGTTATAACATAGAACAATTTAAAAATAAATAAGCTATAACGTAGAACAACTTAAAAATAAATATGTTATAACGTAGAACAATTTAAAAATAAAAAATAAATATGTTATAACATAGAACAATTTAAAAATAAAAAATAAATACGTTATAACGTAGAACAACTTAAAAAAAATAAAATAAATATGTTATAACGTAGAACAACTTAAAAATTAAAAATAAATGTTATAACATAGAACAACTTAAAAATAAAATAAATACGTTATAACGTAGAACAATTTAAAAATAAAAATAATTATGTTATAACGTAGAACAACTTAAAAATAAAAAATAATTATGTTATAACGTAGAACAACTTCAAAATTGAAATTTCCCACCAATCATTATGTTATATATTTAACTACATCTCACACATAACTTGTATGTTGTTTATCTGTGAATCAAAATACGATAAACTACAGCATTATTTTAAGTCAAAGTCGAGATATTATTGTACTTGGAAGTGAAATGATACTTTAAAGATACGAACTGAGTTTAATTGGTATTATTTCTTCCACTAGATGTTACATCATTATTCTATGTTATTATTCCTAATTCTTACCTTCATTATTTGAAGTTATTTACTAGTTACATCATTATTCTAAGTTATTATTCCTAATTCTTACCTTCATTATTTGAAGTTATTTACTAGTTACATCATCATTCTATGTTATTATTCCTAATTCTTACCTTTCTTAATACATTACTTGAAGTTATTTACTAGTTACATCATTATTCTAAGTTATTATTCCTAAGTCTTACCTTAATAATACAATGTTTG